TTTTGCGGTTATGAGTCATTTAGAAAATCGATTGCAAAGCAAATTTCATTTTTATACTTTTTAATCAAGTTAAGAGTAATTACAAAAAAGTAAAATAAATATTGTAAGCGAAGTAGAAATTCTAGACCAGAAAATAAACCCTCTCAAATTCTCGTGTGCCAATTGAAATACCTATTGAAGATCTTTTTGTCGTCAAAATTAAAAAATAGTAATTACAATTAAGATTAAATAATTATTTCTACTTTAAGCGCAAAAAAAGAAATTCGTGGTTGAAAACTGCTTCAATCTCTGGAGAAAAAGTTCTTATCTGTAATGCACTAAAGAATTTAAACAACCCTATTGAAGATCTTTTTGCCTTTATGGGTCATTTAGAAAACCGATTGAGAAAAAAAAAATTATTTTTAGAAATTTTAATCTGGTTAAAAATTAATTATAATGAAGATAAAGTAACTATTTTAAACGAAGTAGAAATTTGAGATTCAAAAAAAGCTCGCAAACTCTCAGGCAAATAATTAAAAAAAAGCATTGAAGAATTTTTTTGTTGTTGTTTATATAATATATGTTGTTGTTTATATATGTTGTTTATATTTTTGTTATGTAAAAAATAATTACATTTACGATAAGAAAAATTTATTTCTAATTTAAACCCTGAAACGGAAATCAGGAGTAAATGTTCAGTCTGTCTGTAATACATAAAAGAATTTAGATCTTTATGAGTCACTTAAGAAATTGATAGTGAAACAAATTTCCTCTAAACAATTTTTAATTAAGTCAAAAAGTTTTTACAATGAAGAAAAAATAACTATTTTAAAAAAAGTTGAAATTCCAGCGTCACCCTCCTCCAAGGAAAGAAGCTCTCAAAATGTCAAGCAAAAGATAAAAAAAATTTCAAAAACATCTATTAAAGATTTTTTCGCTTGCAGCATAGAAAAAAAAAATCTATATTGATTCCACTTTACCAACGTCAGAACCACTTACGACCAACCTCAAATAGTTCAAAGCATCACAATAACAAAAAACTGTATGCAAATTCCAGGATGAACCGAACATTTTTCAGATCGTTCGAATCCGGATGAAGGGAATGATGAAGAGAGAGCGAACGATAGCATCGCGAGGGTCCTTGTAATTCAGAGTCATTACAGAAGAGAGACACAATGTCAGCTAAGGGCAATGGCTTTCTCAAGGTAGCAGCAAATTCCAGAAGCTCACCAGGATTCTGAAGATAACAATGGGCAATCGCTGACAGGAGAAAGATCTTGGTGACGGAATGTGGCGATCGCTTATCACTTGCGTCAACGGGCATCATGGACCACCCTCGTATGAACCCTACCCCCACGTCATCGATAGTGTACAAGAAACTTCAAGGGAAACAGCTTTTTCCTCTGCTGATCCTTTAGTACAGCAAGAACTTAATTCATCCGCCATTTTGGTTCTTACCAAGTACCTAAATGCCGTTTTTCGGAGGCTATTTAGTCGCATGAAATGATGCTCTTTTTTACGAATAGTATGCTATTTTCAAATTTACTGTGAGTTTGCAACAGTTACTCATGATGACTGTTAGGTCAAGTGTAGCCTATCTGTAACCAGCGGTTTCCATGCTTATTCTGAAAATGGGACAAAACGTCAATATGGAAATAAGCCACAGTTTTGTGAAAATGAAAAGCGTTAGTGTTCTAATTTTTTAATATTTAAAAATTTACCCTTATGCTACATTATCGTAGCTCGTAAAGGTTTGCAAAAATTGAGAAAAATTAATGATTCTGATAAGTTTCACCTAGGCGGCAAAGCGTCGCCAAATTGGCGATTTTTAATTGATTGACCGTTCTAAAGTCCAGATAATTCTTCTATTCTTTAAAGATAGTTTAAAATTAAAGCTTTTCTTCAAGCTCTTAAATTGTGGTTTTTTATTTATTTATTTATTTTTTGTCAAAGGAGCTTCGTGAAACCATGCTAAAGACCACTGAAATGATGTTTTTAAATTGGCGAGTGTCCGAATAATACCAATCGCAATAACAAATGGAAGAATAAGGAAAATAATCTTTTGGAAAATTCCTTCAATGCATCCCTAGCACAATGGTGCAGCAACTTAATTATTTGAGATATGGAATTTAAAAATAAAAAAAAAGGAAGAAAGAAACCTCACGGTTAAGTGTGAGTATTCGCTTCGAAACAAGTTTTCCGGAGAAAAAAAATTTCTTGCTTTGATATCGGTGAAAATACTAACCCATGATCTTTATCACTCCCGTTTTCCAGAAAAAGTATGCACTTTCTTTAAAATTCAATTTATAAATAATCCCATTCCTGTATTCCATTATATGCCTTTCACTTTCAACTATACTTGTGCTTTGAAAAAGATTTACTGTAATGCCATTACACTGCTAGAGAAGTTTTAAAGCATGCTGTACAGTAATATGTTTTAAATTTATAGGAACCTTTATATGGTTCTACTTCTAAGCCATGATGCATCGTACTTTTTAAACATGATCACATGACACACTTATTTCTGAGCGGGAAAAAATGATTAAATTTAATGCCTTATTAAGAGTGCCAGCTCATTTGTGCAGTTTTGTGGTTCAAAGTACTGTTATTTCGGTTAAACCTTGAATCTAAATTTCTGAAAGTAAATTTTAAACATTTGCATGTTAAAATTTAATTATTTTTCTTTTTTTGCCAGCCAAAGTCAATTCATTTGTATTTTGTAATCAGAGATCTTTACGAACATTTTTATTTTTAATTATTTAAAGTTCATTTTTTGTTGTTTTGCAAGCTGGAAACTTTTTAAAGCCAAGGAAAAAGAAGAAACAAGCTAGGAAGTGAACTGTTACAATCGTATCGACATCAAATTTCTAAATTCGCTGATCCTTGTCATAATAACATCGAAATTTCTACATTCCGAAAAGCAGATTCATATCGGATTAGCGGCTTTCAATTTTTATGATACTGATAAAACATGACCAATTAACATGACACAATTAATCAAAATAAGCTACAGACAATAAGTTTATAAAAACGCGCTTTCTAATTGTATTTCGTACACTAAACCGGTTCAATGTGCAACAAAAATACTTAAGGGGAAAAAAATTTAATTTGAGACGTTTCATTTCCAAGCAATGAAATCTTTGGAAAAAAACAATGAAACCAAGCCATATCTTTGAGAATAATTTTTTGTTCTGTCAAAATTTTTCGAAACATATTTGCACCATTTTTTAATCTTAAAAATATTATTAATGATTTTATAAATGAGAAAATAGTCTAAATTAATAAAAAAAAACTGAAATCTTAAAAATGAGTAAGCAAGCAGTTTTTTCCCCCATCTGTTACTTTCGTTTTAGCAATACAGTTTTTGCCAAACATTAATCATAATTGTGATTTTTTTCTTCCAGTAAATGCTACGGGACTTTCTGCAAATCAAAAAAAAAATGCAAGTATATACAAAATTAAAAAAATTAATCTCCAAATTTACTAATTAGTAATATTTAAATACAATAAATCCTTGCTCAAAAATCCATCGTTAGTCCATTTTTTTATTGCTAAGTACTGCCTCATGATCCCAAAAATGGCGGATTTGTTAGTTTGTCATTCAGAATTATACTATTATATTTTCAGTATCTTTTACAACTCAGCATGTGAAATGTTTGCAGGTATAACAATCCCCTCTCCCATGCAAGAATAAGATAAGCATCTTTGCGACCATTTTTTTTCTTCCATCAGCGCTTTTAAGTAAGTCATTTCAATAAGTTTTGAATACAGATATTTATCAATGCAAGTCAGAGAGCACGAAGAAAAAAATTTGAATGATACTGAAAAAGAAAATTAGCTGAGTAATTTTTTTTCCGATTTTACCTTATTCTTTTCAAGTCTCATGAATTGAGGAAAGATAGAGATAGCTTATGATGAGCAATATGTTATGATAGAAACATTTACAAAGTGAACAAAATAAGTAAATAAAAATGGATGTGTATCAATTGCATTGGGAAAAAAAGAGAGAAATTATATTCCTTTTTTTCTCTCTTCGTAATTTTATTTCATTTAATATTTGTTGAGTTAAACCTCTCAATGAGATCGCTTACTTTATAAAAGCTGTTAAAACAAATCATTTCTGGCACAAAAGAAATTTTATTGATTGCTTAATTAAAATTGTTAAAAAAATTCATTTCTGGCACAGGGGAAATTTAACATTTTTAACAAATGCCCTATAAAAAAATTTTTCAACGTTCTAATTTTTTGGCTGTTTTCGCATTTATCACTACGGATAAAATCAATTCTGTTTTTTTCCTTGCAATGAAATACAAATAATAATTATAAATAAATAATCAAATTTATTTTAAATGTATTTTATGATAAGAATTTTGTACTGATTCAGGAGTTTCCTTGTCTTCTGGATTAGTTCAAAATTACATGGCTACGGAGTTGAACATTAGTAGTCGTAAACCAAAATTGGGTCGACTGTTCAACGACGGTTATAAAATTCATATATCTTATCTTTATTATTTACACGGTGCTTCCAGGCATGCACTGTACTACTAATCTTTTTATAACCATCTTCGTTAATCCTCTTAAAATATTTGTCAAGCATTCTCTAACTTTGCTCTGAAGTTTCAATTCATACAACGAATTTTTATTCACACCAGGTGAAATTTGTTCTATAGTTTGTCTAAGCTAAGAACTCCTCCCGCCACAAATTCTGAGACTGTCTGGTGCTATGGAAACAAGAATGGTGCATTTTAGGGAGGGTAGCTTTACCCTAGGAAACACAATAGACTGAAGAAAGAGATTCCCTTTCTCTCGCCGACCCGAGTAGAAATAGTGACCCCTCACCCCTACTTGAAATAGTCATACCTCGTTACCATAGTCACCGCCACAGGTCCAGACGAATGACTGGAGGAGTTCTTATTTTAGACAAACTATACATCGAAGTAACCAACTGTAAACTTAGAAATCAAACTGAGTTATAGAACAAAAGAAAAAAAAAACGCAACTTTAAAATAATTGATAAATACCTTTTTGAACAATCTTTCCAAAAATATTTCTACCCCTTGTGTAATCAATTGTTGGACAATTCCACCTTCTTTTTTTAAACTGATGTTTGCATTCGGAAATAGATAATCGCACTCCTCTGCCGATGGCTGTCATGGCGCCTGGATTTTCCCTCACCAGTCGCCTTTGCTTCTTCCGGAGTAGAGTGTGAGGGGCAAAACCCCTTCCAACTAATGTATTAGTTCTGTGAAAGTCCACTACAAAGTTCGAAATCTCTTCAGAATAAGCAATATTCCTAGGAAGACACAAATTCGCTCATTTTAATTTGGCATATGAATGTTACTGATAAATTTGGATATCCGCCATTGTATACAATGCAGGATATCCAAGGTAAAATATAAAATGTTTAGAAATTTTTTCACACTGCTTGTCATTGTATACAATAACAAAACAGTCGAGTTGGTAAAATGATAATGCAGAAAATCATACTGTTAACTCAGAATGATTTGCCAGTTCTTTTTTTTATTAGTATTATTTAAATAAGAACTTGGCACCTTTGGCGACCCAGGTTGGTAACCTTTCAAAGTTTTCTTGCACAGCATATAAACTTTAATGGTACCCAAGACAAATCTTCAGCATAAGCGTATTCAAATATTCAAATTTTTCAACCTCTCTCCCAATTCCCATACCTTATTTAGTTTTAAACAATATATTAAACAATGCAATTAAATAATTATTTTAAACAATATAATTTTCAACGCCTAGCTGTTGCACGCTGCTTTGCTTCGGCGAAAGTTCGTTGATTTCAGTTTTAACGATTTTCAAGAGATTTCCGCCATATTGACAAAGTTCTCCATGTCTTGAATTTTAATAGTAATTCAAAATCTTTCCGGAAGACATTAAATCCCACAAACTAACTTAACTATGAATTTGGGTCATTTCATCATAATAAGCACCAAAAAATATTCAAATTATTTCTATCTCCGTCATGCGGTAGGATAGAAAACACATATCAAAGCACCATTACTTGCTGTATTAATTTCTCATGCACTTTTCCAGTCATAACTTGAGTATCGCATAATATATACATGCTATTGCTCTAAAAAAGCAAGCTACAATCACTGGTGTGACAGTAGGCTACAACATAGCACGGCTTATATTTAAAATTTCTCCAGCTATTGGCATCAAAAATAAATCTAAATAATTACGTCGTAACTAAAATTTTATTCACATAAAAAAATTATTCTAAATAAGTATTTAAGGCACGACTAATTATTCAACTCTACTTAGAATATTATTTAAGGCAACCTAACAAAATTAATCTAAATAAGTTCTTAACACATAATTAATTTTTTAACCCAACTTAAATTATTAATTATNTTTTAAAGTAATTTTTGGTGCAATAAGTTGGTTTGCTTTTACTCACAAGTTTAACTTCTTTAGTTAAAAAAGGGTTGCGTTAGATAATGAAAGTGTTTCTTTTTGGTCTATTTTACTGTTTGTATCTTGTTCTCTTTTCCTTTCGTTTTTGCCTCAGAATTTTCTGTACTATCTAACAACCGGCACTTATTCTATTAAAATATATATTCAATCAAAAACCCTTGTCACGCACAAAACAAACAGAAATATGGAGATCATAGAATTTTTCTTTTATGTATATTTAAAACTTTTTAAATTGTTTTTTTTTTTAAATATAGATAATTATTTCAATAGGTTGTACAGTAACCTATTAAAATAAATAAGTTGTAACGTTAATTTGAAATTAAAAATTTTTTTAGTGCAACAAATAAGATTTTAAATTTCTGATTTATGATAGATTTATTCAATTAACTCTCGCATTATCGAATTTTTTCTTAAGTCTCCTTAATCATTAATAAAAATAATACAAAATCTGTATTTACTGAGGGTAAAAATATAATAATAATAGTTAATATTTTGATTTGTTCCAATTTTTATTTTGTTTAAGCTTGATTTGTTCATTTTCAAGTCAGTATTCCATTTTTGATTACACTAGGGAATATTTTTTTTTTCTATTGCAGGAAATTATTTTAAAAGATCTTAGATATTTTTGTCTCGCTGATTTCAAATTTGAAATCGGTTTTTCTCTCCAAACTACTGATTTTTAAAGCGACATTTTCAATCTATTTTATGTTGAAATGTACAAGTTTAAAAGCGTAATATATTTCAAAGGGTCATGTAAATGTTGCATCAAACTTATTCTAAAGAAGATAAGGGACATCATCAGAATTAAAACTGTACAGAAACTCATCCCCAAAATTTTCTCATAAGCCGTTATGTGCGCTTCCCTATTATGAACTGTTTCTTCGTGCTCTTGTGAACAGGTCTTAATAGGAAAGCGCCCCTAGCTGCGAACGGTGGCATTTCTGGGAAGGGGTTTCTATGCAATTTTAATCCTGATAATGTGCCTTAACTCAACCACTGGTCCGTGGATCAAACAGTACCGGGCCGCCCATTTCATTGAAACTAAATTTAAATTATACCCCAAATTAAAAATATCTGTGTTCCATTAAAATTTTATTTATTTAAAGAAAAGGGTCCCCCGAAGGTAGTGACATACATTTTTTAATGTTTGTAATGTATCATCGTCTCCGATTACCACCAGGTGGAACCGTCTCATTGAAACGAAACAAGCTCAGGGTTCTCATTGATTTAACGTTCTGGTAAGTTAAAACATTAAATCACTTTATGTTTTATTTTTTGGTGTAACTTTATTTTGAAAGCATGTTTAAATGCAATTAAATTAAAACAAATAAATCAAAATAATCGGAAATATAAACAATCAACGTCCCCCCCCCCCCGCAGCGGACCGCGGTAAAATTATCAAACGTTGACAGGTCCGCGATGATAAAAAGGTTGGGGAACACTGCCTTAACTCACCTAGATGTTTGTCGCAGCATTTGTACGAAGACCTTTTATATATTACGTTTTAAAACTTGTAAATTTCGACATAAGACTAAAAATATCGTTTCAAAATAAATCTGTAGCCTTAGAATCAAAACTAATGTCAAATTTGAAATCCTCCCATCCGTACTACTCAATATGAAGTATTTGCATAAACGCAACAAAAATTTATTCCGCAGTGTTATCTGCATATTGTTTTCGTTTTTAAGAAATTAAACCAACATATTTCTTACTAAAATTTTAATGAGTGCTTTAAACATAGACCAAAGAATATTACATTTCCAAAAATTCTAAAAATCTGTTCCACATTTGTTCCACGACATATTATTTTTGTTTTCGTTTTCAAGAAATCAAACCAATATATTTTTAACTAAAATTTTAATGAGTGCTTTAAACATGAACCAAAGAATATTACATTTCCGAAAAATTCGAAAATTCCCCCATTTGTTCCACGACATATTATTTTTGTTTTCGCTTTCAAGAAATCAAACCAATGTATTTTTTTATTCAAATTTTAATGAGTGCTTTAAACTTAAGACCACAGAATATTAAATTTATTAGCAAAGTATAACGAAGGACATTTGGGGGGGGAAGAAAAGAAAAAGAATTAGAAAAGAACTTAGGAAACTTTTAATATTTACATGCATTTGATTTGTCCCGTTTTCTATCTACACAGCATTTTTGATCGTCTATGCATTAATTTTGTAAACGTGGTTAAAAAAATAAACTTTTAAAACCAGTTATTAATTTTTTTAAACGCTTAAAAGCATTTAGGTATGATATTTTTTTTAAAAATTAAATAAATATAACTAAGAATGGAAAGAAAATTCCCATGGGAAACATTTAATATTGGCAGAAATTTGATTTGTTCCATTTCATGCCAATATTCCATTTCGAGACCATCTGTCTTCGGTAGTGAGACATATCTTGCTCGATGCTGATTGGTTCCCACTCCAACAAAAGTATATCTGAGAGGATGAGGATTAAATTGGTGGCAATATGAGGAAGCGAGAGGGTTTATCACGACCTTTTTGACTCGGATTGAAGTAAATGGGCAAATTGGACCTTAAAATGACACTTTTATGACTCCCTCTTAGCTCTGTTTGGTAACGCATTTGTTGCTCTGGAAAATCATGGCTGTCTCTTAGATTCTCAAAATAAGCATTTCAAACAGATTTTTTTTTCGTTGTTTTTATAGTTTTTCATGGGCGATTTAAGGCTATTGTATCCTTATGTAAAAGTTTGTGAAAATAATAACAAGAAAGAATGAAATATTTACACGATAACACAGTATTAGTATAAATTAATCTCAGCATATTGGAATTCTAAAAATAAGCATTTCAAACAGATATTGTTTTCTCGTATTCACGGTTTTTCATGGATTATTTAAGGCTAGTGTCTCGTTATTTAAAGGTTCGCGAAAATATTAACACGAAAGTTTAAAATATTTACATGATCAAACATTATTTGTATAAGTTATAAACATATTAGAACGGTTTTTCATAGATGATTAAACACTGTCTCCTTATGTAAAATTGTCATAAAGTAATAATAAATATTAAAATATTTGCATGAGGGGACAGTTTTAGTATAAATTGTTATGTAGAATTCTAAAAGCGAGCATTTATTTCAAATAGGTTTTTTTCGTTGTATTACGGTTTTTCATAGATGATTAAACGCTGTCTCCTTATGTAAAATTGTGATAAAATAATAATAAATATTAAAATATTTGCCTGAGGGGACAGTTTTAGAATAAATTGTTATGTAGAATTCTAAAAGCGAGCATTTCAAATAGGATTTTTTCGTTGTATTTACGGTTTTTCATAGATGATTAAACACTGTATCCTTATGTAAAATTGTGATAAAATAATAATAAATATTAAAATATTTACATGAGGGGACAGTTTTAGAATAAATTGTTATGTAGAATTCTAAAAGCGAGCATTTCAAATAGGATTTTTTCGTTGTATTTACGGTTTTTCATGGATGATTAAACACTGTCTCCTTATGTAAAATTGTGATAAAATAATAATAAATATTAAAATATTTGCATGAGGGGACAGTTTTAGTATAAATTGTTATGTAGAATTCTAAAAGCGAGCATTTCAAATAGGTTTCTTTCGTTGCATTTACGCGCTTTCATAGATGATTAAACGCTATCTCCTTATGTAAAATTGCGATAAAATTGCAATAAATATTAAAATATTTGCATAAGGAGACAGTTTTAGTATAAATTGTTACGAGCATATTAGAATTCTGAAGCCGAACATTTCAAATATGTTTTTTTTTCGTTGTATTTACGGGTTTTCATAGATAATTTAAAGTTATTGTCTTATTATATAAGTTTTCGAAAATAATTATACGTAAGATTAA